GTGGCTGTCCTTCTTCGCGGAATACAACTTCCGCGTCGAATACAAGCCGGGCATGCTCAACGTGCTTGCGGGCGCCCTTTCTCGGCGTCCTGACTATGAGCTGGCCCACATCACACGGGTGACAACGGATCTATATGATCCGATACGCATGACGTATCGGGACGATGAGGCTGTCGCGCCTATCGTCAAGTTCCTCACGGCAGGAACGAGCGCGAAGTCCGACTGGCTTTCATCGCGACAGCGCTCCCGGCTCCACTGATTTGAGTTGAAGGATGGCCTCCTGTATTACCGGGTGAAGCCCAATGAACCTCCACGGGTGGTCGTACCCAGCGATGAGGATCTGAAGTTCGATATCCTGACGCGCAGACCCACCTTGGCCCAGCTCCTCAAAGCGAGGGCGGGCCACAGACGTCGACGAAGGCGTCGGAGCAGGCGCCCAAGCCTCGGTCTGGACGGCAAAGCTGCGGTCAAGACCGTACGCCGGAGGGGCTCCGTACGAACGGACCCCGGAGCCATACGCCGAGTACGCTGAGTACGCACCATACGCGTACGTCTGGAAGTGTGCCGCAGGCGGCTCCGGACGTGGCAACAGAGCCTCGATCCGTCGGATCAGGCGAAAGGCCTCGTCCAGATCGGACGAAGAGGCCCGGCGATCCACCCGCAGATGCAGGCTCGCGACCTCTCGCTCCAACAGGTCCAGGCGGCCCGCAAGGCAAGCGAGCTCGCCCTGATTCACGGCCTGGGCGGCAGCATCACCGCCAGACCCAAGGCCAAGTGCAATCTCAAGCACGAGGACACGTTGACGGAGGAGGTCAACCTCGGGGCCCTGTGTCGGACCCGCAGCCGGAGCACTCGGACGAGAGTGGCGTTCGGGAGGCGCCGAGTACTCGTACTCGTACGAGGGCACCTCCGCCCCTGCTTGACCGGAATGGAGACGTCCACTTCCACGTGGAGCGGATCCTCCAGGAGCAACGGCGTCGCGGTAAGCGACAGCTCCTTGTGAAGGGGAGGGGTTATGCCCCCTCCGAGAACTCGTGGGAGCCGATTGAGCGGCTTCTGATTGACAGCCCGAAGGCTGTCGCAATCTGGGAACAAAAGCGGCGGCAGCTTCATAAGTAGTCCGAAGCTTCTTGCCCGAACGGGGTACGGACGTTGAATACACTCCGTACCCGCGCTCATCGTGAGCGCTGGAAGCCGCACGCTTCAGGATGTACCTTGGCAGCGTGCGCTTGCAGACTAAGTGGGCAAACCGAACACGAAGATCTCGCAGGTCCAGGATGCGGGACAGCAGCTGATCTTCATGGAGTTCCCGTAACTTCGTGGGTGAGTACTTAAGAGACTCCACTCATGCCCAGAACATGTCCTCACAGGAACTCCAGGTGGGACAGTTCTCGGGCAGAACCCAGGGGTATCCCCACAGAGGATAGAGACCACCCCGGGTATCGGGCTTCTTACGACAAGTCGTGAAGTCTATAAGGGGAATGCGGTGTGGCGCGAGAAGCACACACCGAGCATCCTCTAAGTTGTAAACGAACAACTGTTCCTTCTGAACAAGGTCACGTTTGTAAATGCCCCTAGAAGTGGTTCCGCCCACAAGACCACGAGGAGCGACGAGAAGCTCTAGGAAGAGGTCAGCCCCAGAGCTCTCCTCGGGAGGCCAATACCCTCTTGAGCTGATGGCAGCTCCCTGGCTGACGGGTGCCACCACCGAACCCCCACGCACACGCTGGGCAGCTTGAAAATCCTCCTGCTGCTGGTCGAGGTCATTCGTGACCTCCCGGGGCTCAGAGTTAGCACCCTCCTTCTCCTCTTATTCCTCCTTCTCCTCCGCTTCATCCGAGGCGTCGAAGAGGCCCCGATGAGAGTGCCGAGTCTCCTTCTCCTCGCGGAATGGAGACTTAGAAGTTGTACGCTTCTTAAAGGGCTTGGCGCCTTTGGCTTTAGAGGCCTTAGCGCGCGCAAGACCCTCGGCAAGCGAGAGACGTTTGCGAGGTTTCTCTTCCTCATCGCTAGTAGCTTTGGGAGTGCCCTTAGCCTTGACGGCCGGACACTCAGAGCGCACAGACGTCCTGGGACTGTGATCACCTTGATCACTAGCGAGCGACTGGACGCTGTCATCCTTGTGCTCGCTGGGCACTGGGCTGTGCCCTCCCGCAGAGCCCGCAGGAGCATCGTGCGTGTTTATGGACTCGGCTTCGTCCTCACTGCCAGAGTCGAACTCACGTTCTACAACTCGAGGGTTCGGACGATTGTCTGGAGAGGCTGAGGGCGACGGGCTGCGGCGCTTGCTGGTTCGCTTGCCCACAACCTTGTCGCCCGATCAACCGATCGCCTCGGAGGCCACCTGAGTAGCCTCCTTAAGTGCCGAGCCTTTGCCGAGAGGCTTACTGCTCTTGGCTTGTGCCTTTCCGGTAGCAGCCTTGGAGCGTGTCTTCGCACCGATCTTAGCAGTGCCACGAGGCATGGTTAACGGTCGAAGTGGAAGACCTGGAAGAAGAGCGCACAGGCTGCTGCTCGAGGCTCTAACTGTGAAGTGAGCCTCCGCCGCGCTCGCGCGGCCAAGTCGATGGTTTTGGACTTTGAGAATGAAGGTTTGTGACGAACACCTCTTCATTCTGATTGGTCGGTAAACCGGTCCTAAGTGGGGGAGATGTAACGGGATACGTAGTCCTAAGTGTACCCTGGTTACATGAAGTGTGACGTATCACACTTCAGAAGTATGACACATCATACTTCGGGGTAGTTTGGGCTAAAGTACCAAGGTCGTCCAAAGCCCACCATTGGTTGATGACATTGCATTTCTAAAGGTGACTTATAGTTTGTATTAAACCCAAGCTTTATCTACCTATAAATATACTCAGTTTACATTCTACCTTAATTAGGTCACTTCGCTCTCTTTTGAATAGAGAGGGGACCTGTGAACTGCCGTTCACGGAGAGTTTGTATACTCTCGAAGGCTAACTTCCTCTAGCTCAAGGTGCTGTGTGACCCCGTCACAGGACTGCTATTGCTTATGGCCTTTGACTACGCTACTGCTAGGACTATGGCGGCAACGTGGATGCGCGTGTGTGATCGCGTCGACTTCCAAGTCCGTCGCCGAGATCAAGTGGGAGTGTGAGCTGTGAACTTACCAGCGTGTCGAGCGCCGTTGCATTGCAGTCTATCACTGTCCGGTGCCCCCGTCTACGAGCCACCGTCTACATCCAAGGACACTTATGCGCCTGGCAGTGCAGCTTGCGGCTGCACTACAACCGGCTACACTGAGTACACATGCGTGCAATGGCGAAGGACTATACCAAGGACTGTTTGCACAAGGACATCGTTGGCTGTGCGCTGCCAAGATGGTGTACTCGACGAGAGTGCATTTATCTAGAGTTTAATATTTGCTATTTGTATACTAATCTACCTTTTGCGGAACAGCGGTGTTCTGGCGGAGGCTGCTCCCCACTTTGCGTTTTGACGCCTGGAGAGCAGCCTCCCCAGATACCGCAGTCCTGTCGCGGCCTTTTGCCCGGCACTTACGTGTTTACGCATTTTCCCTGATTACTTCTCTAAAGTTGACACTTAAGTGTATTTACATTTAAATGGCTCCTACTCTATGAAGCGATCGACACATGGAGATCAATCTCCCCGTGACGAACCCTAAGTCACCACTGGAATCGTAGCAACCATACTCCAATCGCCCAGCTTACAAATGGCGAGCACGAAGATCGGCAAGAGGATCTTGCTGAGGCACACGAGGCACGAAGCTGACAACCTCATTAATCGTGGCTTTCACCTCAGGTGTGATCTTGTCCACGAAGTCCAAGGCCTTCAGGTTTTCCTCAAGTTGCGAAGGGCGACTGGCACCAAGAAGTACAGTGGACACGTTCTCGTTCGAGACGCACCACGCAAGCGCTAGTTGTGCGAGCGAGCAGCCCAGTTCTTGGGCAATGGGTTTCAAGTTTCCAGCCATCTCGATCTTTTTCGTAAACATCTCCATTCGAACGGGAGGACCAGCTTTGAGATCCGTCGTTAGGCGAGAACCCTTCGATGCGGCGCTGTATTTGCCCGTCAGCGCCCCAGAGCAAAGCGGGGACCACACTGTGAGCCCCAGTTTGTATTTCTTGTACAGGTCCAGATATTCGAACTCGACCTTGTTGCGCTCCATGATGTTGTACTCTGGTTGCTCCACAATGGGGCGGATGAGTCCCAATCGGTCCGCAATCTCGCACGCCTCTTGGATGTCAGAGGCGAGCCACTCGCTGGTGCCCCAGTAAAAAGCCCAACCTTGTTCGATCACGAAGTTCATGGCTCGGACGGTCTCCTCGATCGGGGTGAGGGCATCAGCACGGTGACAGAAAACAACATCGACGTAGTCCAGCTGCATTCTCCCCAGCGAAGCCTTCAAGCCTTCCACGATGTGTTTGCGACACAACCCTTGCGCGTTTGGACTGCATTGGTCCCACGCGATGGTCCCAGCGAACAGTTTGGCAGTCCCGACCAGGTCTTCGCGACTCCAGACACCCTCTTCGATTCCCTTTGTGATGGCTCCCCCCATGTTGGATGATCACGTTATTTTTTTTCCTTTTACAGAATGATTGCTGAACAGTCGATACATTTAAGGACCTCGAAATTATGAGTCGGGTATTACTGTAATATCACAATCCTCTCTAACGATGAGAATTACGATTTAAGCCTTAAAAAGCCGTGTCACACAGCTTCGCTTCATCGAGACAGCTGTTGTTAATTACGAAAAAGGCACTCGTAGCTTGAAGATCCTCCGTGACTCCAGTCGGTCTGCTGGAGTCTAAGGTGTTACTTGGCTCCTGGATGAATACAACGACTGTAGACGGAGGACAGGAAGCAGTTCAAGCTGCATCTGATATTTTTTTTCTTATTCCGGTTTTGTAGTGCACAGTAAAGTGTAAGAATGAGCCCATTGGTAATTGGTAAATACGGAAATGAGTTAAAAACACAAATTTAAGACACTGATTTAAGGCCTTAGTAACCGACTTCGCTTACAGGTGACGCCCACGCAGCAACGAGAGGTGATCCATCTCGGACACCGTCGGCACGAACTTGACAACTTCGTCAATCTTGGCCTTGATCTCGGGCGTGATCTTGTCGACAAAGTCCAGCGCCTTCAAGTTTTCCTCCAGCTGCGATGGTCGACTAGCGCCAACGAGAACCGTCGACGCGTGTTCATTGGCCACAGCCCACGCCATGGACATCTGAGCGAGAGAGCAGCCGAGCTCCTTGGCAATCGGCTTCAGTTTGTCCGCCATCTCCACGCGCTCCGCGAATCCCGCAGCAAAGGGACTCCCCTCCTTAAACATCGGAGACGTGTAACGCGATCCCTCCGGCTTGCCGTCACTGTACTTACCCGTCAGGGTGCCAAACGCCAGCGGCGACCACGTCGTGAGCCCCAGCTTGTACTTCTTGTACAAGTCCAGATACTCGTACTCCACCTTGCTGCGCACAAAGATGTTGTACTGAGCTTGTTCTACAATGGGGCGGATCATGCCCAGACGGTCTGCGATCTCACAGGCCTCGCGGATGTCCGAGGCCAGCCACTCGCTAGTGCCCCAGTAGAAGGCCCAGCCCTGGTTGATGACAAAGTTCATGGCTCGCACCGTCTCCTCAATGGGCGTGTAAGGCTCGGGGCGGTGCGAGAAAATGACGTCCACGTACTCAAGATCGAGACGTTTAAGTGAAGCCTTGATCCCCTCAACGATGTGTTTGCGGCTGTTGCCCTGGTCGTTGGGGCCGGCATCCGTGAACCCCTTGGAGCCATTGAAGATCTTGGTGGAGATCACGAGGTCCTCGCGACTCCAGAGCGCTTCGGAGATGCCCTTCTTGATGGCACCACCGAGCAGTTCCTCGGCCTGGCCGTTGCCGTAGATCTCAGCTGTATCGTAGAAGTTGACACCGTGCTGGTAAGCGATCTTGACCATTTCATACCACCCGTCGACAGTGTACTTGTCGTTGTAGTCCATCCAAGAGCCCAGCGACAGCTTGGAGACCAGGAGACCAGAGTTGCCCAGGAACCGGTGGGTCATCTTGGTGGGAGTAGAGTTAGAAGCCATGGTTCGGTTGAGGAAGACGGAGGGGGTTGTGGCTGACGAGGCCAAAGTGAAAGTGAGCTGAAGATACTTTGACACAACGGGCACTTATGGAAGGAAAGTTGTGCAATGCACAACTAATGCACAATGTGCATTACTTAAACATCCTATTTTTGTCATTTTTCAGCGTAATCACTTGCTGATGGCGTCGCTTTGAGATGAGTCAATTCGATCGAAAGGTAAAGCAATCATAACTTTTGATTGCTTTACCTTTTGCATTTTGATTACGAGGGCTTAGCTGAAGGAACGATCGTGGTTCTTACGTGCGTCATTAATAGTGTAGACCACTAGCCGAGCGCCGCCGCTACGCGGCGATAGTTAAAGTTTTATTCAAGTTGTTTGCCTTCCCGCCTCCGCTTCGCTTTGGGTAGATAATTATTCCAAAAACTATGAGTCCCTATGTGCCTAAATCGACTTCTTTAATCTCATAAATCTGGGTTTAGTTTAGATCATTCGCTACAAAATGCTGAGTTCCCAGTAAGCCGTGCAATTACTACTACAAAAACCTAAGCCCCTAGCATCATACTTACAATGTAAAAAAAGATTATTCTACAAGTAGTAGTGATCTTGACACAGTATCTTTATTATTGTTGGCTATCACTGTCAGAATTACCTGCACTTCAAATAGCATGTCTACAAACGCCAAACAATATATTTAGCTTTGCGTCGTGCTCGATATCACGGGCCATTTCTGAGCCGCTATGAAACTTAGCTCACATCAGCGCAAACGATAGTAATGGCCTGTCCAGCTTGCACTATTTGTTTCCTGCTTGTACTGCCTATTTCAGCTGGTAAGTAACTAAAGATTGTTCACTTCCCATGTCAAACTCAATGAAAGCTAAACAATATTGAAATTGTACTATTTTTAATATATGTAGCGTTCATTTTGTGCTGATTCAGAATTAGAACTCGAATCTGGCCAGTTATGATTGAAGCATTTGGATATTATGTCGCAAGACGCCTTGCTGCTGCTGCTGTTGACGGTAGTGTTTTCTATTTGATAACTTACCGATGATTCCAGGATTATTGGACGTCATTTAGGCTCCAAGTTTACTAATGTTTCTTTATGGGGTCTACTTAACCAACTATAATTCACACCTCTCGTGTTTTGTTGTTGTCTTGCCCCTCCTTTTAAAATTGTATCCTACGCCTCTGTCGACGACACGTCCGCCAGTTAAGTAGTATCGGATTTTGCTGTCTTAACCCCCCCAACGCGAGAGCCTGTATTAGACACGTTTCCCGAAAATGCTTATCCTGTATTAGACACGATAAGGATTTCTGACGTCTTTTTGTATGTGCGTTTACAAATTTTAAGTCAAAGGGGGGTAGGTTTTTTTGTTTTTATCACATGTATCTTACACTCAGATCAACTGAGATCTGCAAGATCTTGATTTTCTAAAAATAAGAAGCCACAGGTAGAAGTGTGCGCCACACAATTATATCAAAAATTGGAGGTGCATTTGCGCGCCACTTGTTTGCCACTCATTCTAGAATCTCCCCCCGTTGGCAAACAATGGCCTTTCAAGCGTGCTGGCGAGAGCTGAGAAGAGAAGGATGGTCGTCAAAGAGACCCCAGGGCCTATCGGTGGACTTCACGTACATTATGCCTGGTCAAACTACGAAGGGCGTCCGCGGGAAAGATTTCTTCGTGGGTGAAAAAGAGTTGATGGCCTTTTTGGATCAGCTGGATCGCGGTACGTATGATTATGCTTAGTGGGGATTTTTTAGTCTAACGACTTGTGCTTGCATAGCGGAGCTTCGACAGCAGAGCTCTAAAAGGCCTGTACCAAATCCACAAGTCAGTACTGCGTGTGATCCTCCAGCCCAGAGTCGAGGGGAGATTGAAACAGGTATGAATTGCTATCCTGTATTAGATGCAATATCAACTGATTGTATCGTGTATCATACAGCCGTCGCTACATCCAGCACCCCTGTACGAGATGCAACTGAGTACAACGACTCAGGACCGCCAGGTAGCCCAACTGAGTTACCAGATAAAGCGATTTGTACAAGTAATGAAGGTATGATGCTCTCGTGTATAATAAACGCTTTAGAAGTCTAATCTTATTGTGTCTTGTACAGGTTTAACGGCCCCTACCAGCTCGCAAGAGTGCAGTGTTGGTGGTGATGCTCTGATTGCAACATCAACCCACATCTCGCCCGCATCGGGTGAAGACGGTGGGCTACTATTTTGTTGATGTGAAACTGAGGTATACACTAATGCGTGTTTTGGTTTGTGCCTCAGAGATACCACTTGCTCAGCGAACCTTAGAGTATGACCTGTTTGGAGATGACGATAGCAGCGAAGAAGACGTTGTTGAGAGTGACGAAGAGGTCGTGAGTCTCGTGAATGAAGGTGGCGATGAGATAGAACCTCCATCGGAGGTAGTGACGAATGAACCTGATGCAGTACAGCCTCTTGTGATAGGTATTGTTATAATGTCCATACACTTTTGTATTTTACGTTACTTATTCAGATCGTGTATTCTTGTTAGTAGACGACCCAAACCTTGTGCAGCCTGGTGAAAGACCTGAGGATTTTGCTGGCCTTGATTCGGATGACAACACTGAACATGGGTCTGTGTACGACGACGACGATGACTTGGGACCAGAGGAGCCTGACCCTGCTGAAGTTGAAGATACTGAGCCTCCAGTAGATATGCATTTTGATGAGTCACTTCTCGAAGCCGTTGGTGGAGCTGACTTCATTTCAGGTGGGCGCATACACAAGAACATACTGACAGACATGAAGTTCAATGGTTGGACTGCACCGAGAACTGAGTTACCGTATCCCTACATGGAGGCGCCGTACGATATGAGACCAGATGATTGGATCAGTGAAGATTATCCAAACATTTACAATGGAGAGAGTGGACCTACTGCGGAAGCGTTGTTGGCTGCTGAAACTGCTTCTGGGGCTTTCTTTTGCTTTGCACCGCCACAGATGTGGGAAAATATTGCCGGTAAGACTGTTGACTACTACAACGAGCACATAGCCGCTCGTGTGGAGGCCTAGTATGCCAAACAGAAAGCTCGGAAGTTGAAGCGTCCAGACTTTCAAGTCCAGACTCCAGAACAAATCAAGACGTGGCTCGAGAAGGTGGTTGATGTTTCGGGAAGAGAGGTTTGCATTTTTGTTGGTTTGCTTATCGCGCGGACAATTTGTCCGAACAAGGAAAAGTTTGAGAACCATTGGAAGACCACTGATGAAGGGGCCATTCCTCGGGGCTGTTTTGGCCAGTTCATGACCAGAGACCGCTTCGCTCACATATCTCGAAACCTACACTTCAGCAGCAATAGTGATCCGCGTGCCGCGTGTGATAGAGCGTGGAAATTGCGTCCTGTATCCGACACTCTCCAAGAAACGTTCCTGCGCAATTGGATTTTACCGGCAGTGATGGTATTCGATGAAGCTATGCTTCCGTCGCGCTCCACCTTCAATCGCATGCGAGTGTTCATGAAGGATAAACCTCACGAATGGGGAACTAAACGCTTCATGCTGAACTGCTCGAAAACAGCATATTGCATACGGTGAGTAAAAGCGAGCCTTCGGGCTCGCTTTTTTTTTTTGGCTTCTAAGTTCTCTTAACGTGTCTAGTACATTTTAACTGACGCTGTGCAACATGTATGGTACAGTTTCGAGGTGTATTGCGGCAAACAGCAGCTGCAAGACACAAGTACACCACCTGACACAAATTGCGGACCAGCAGCAGTCGTGCGAAATCTTCGCCATGTATTTGGACCTACTGGACCTCCAAAGTTTCGGTTGATTATCTCCGACCGATTCTATACGTCCGTCGTCCTTGCAATGCAGTTGCTGACCATGAAGTTCTACAGTATTGGTACTATTATGACCAACAAACAAGGTTTGTGCGAAGCTATTCTTCCACCAAAGAAGAAGAACGGGAAACGTGCTTCAAACAAGAGGCCACCACATATTGTGAAAAGGACATATCAAGTGGCTGAGTGTCTGAAGGTGCCCACGATCAAAGCGGTTCGTTGGTATGACAACCAAGGTGTCTTCTTTCTTGCAGCGGGAGGAAGCGCAGCTAAGGATCGTATTGTTCGTCGCGATCAAGGCACCAGAGAGCTGGCGGAAATGATGGCACCCAGACTGGTGAAAGACTATCAAACATACATGGGAGGTGTGGACGTACACGACCAGCTACGTCTACAGAGGTAAGTGTTGTTATTGAATATGTACGGTTTAACATGGAATGCTTATCGTGTCCTATACGTAATCTGTATTTAGATACTCACTGCAGCTTTCGCGTCGATACAAGAAGTATTACAAGTCACTCTTCCTTGGTCTTATTGACCTGGTCATAATCAACGCGTACATTCTTTTCAATTGTCGCTGGACTTACGATGGAAAGTCAAAGGTGTCGCACGTGTACTTCCTTAAAATGCTTCACCTGGAGCTGTGCCAACTACAAACGGACGATTGGAAGCAAATGCTACGTCATCGCGGCATGCAGCCCACCCCCACCAAGTCCAGAGAAACTGCCAACAGTCACGTTCCGGTGCAAACGGATGCGTGGCGTAAAGGTAACACAACGGATACCAGAAAACGCCGCCAACGCGCCTGTAAGGTCTGTTCAGTACTGAAGTCAGCCAGTGAATCGCGTGGAGGTGAAAGTACGTTTTTCTGTGGTGGGTGTAAGCTGAAATCGTCGTCCAAGCACCAACAAGCGGCGCGAGTCTTCCTGTGCAACAAAGTCAAGCACACAAGCAACGGGCAGGCACTCTCGTGCTTCGAAATCTGGCACAGACACTGGAAAAATGGTACACGCATCCCTCAGGCGCGCGCGAAGCGCCATATTCGTGCGCGTAAGCCAGCGCAAAGCAATACGGGAGACGGCAGTGATTGCAGCGACGAAGGTGACGTCAGCGACAATGGAAATGAAGCTCCAAGCAGCCTTCGCCAGCGAAAGCGTGCGCGCGCTGGTGATCACGGCAGCTAGAATCGTCTGACTATCTTCTGGCTCTTGTTTTTGACTTG